AAAATTGGGCGTCAAAAAACGCAAGAACTTTCTTCACGACCTAATAGAATGAATCATTGCTAGTTAGTCTTGCAACAGTATAGTAACATATAATGAGTGAAGCTAAAGCAATAGAGTGCAAAAGCGAAGTAGAGGCATTGCAGGCTCCATCAGAAGCGCTATAAAGGGTGAAAATATGATCTACTGCGTTTTTGTTACCAATCTGGTTACAAACTATAGTTTTTGTGGTAGAGCTCGCAGTAGTTAAGAGCCCCTTTTTTGAATATAGTCGTATCCTGTCACTCAGCACCTTTTTTGCTGGGTTAATAAAACCAGTGAAAATAATGTTCACCTCTAAAGGCCACTGTACGTGGGCCTTTATTATGGACCGCCTATTTCCAGCTTATCAGACAGTGTACGCCGTCACTGGTCCACTTCTTGTGATGAAGAATGTGAAATTCCCTGTATTCGGAGAAATCGTTCGCATAACTCTCAGGGACGGTACGAATCGGATGGGGCAAGTGTTAGAAACAAGTGGTGAGAAAGCTGTTGTTCAGGTAAATGATCTTCATTCGTTGGTTTTCGGTTGTAAACCAATAGAAATCATCAAAAAGCATTCTTTGCTGCGCTATTCATACTACATAAGCCACTCCACCAGTATATACATATATTAATATAGCTTCAGCTTAGCATCTATTAAAACGCTTGCAGTTTTTCCCGCAGTAGTCGTCTCTAGCACCAATTTTTTACTTGTTTTTCTAGATCGTCCGTTCAACCTTATATGCCTTATATAGTAACAAACTTTGAACTCCCGCGGAAAAGGCAGTTTTGAGCGGGAGCTACTCGTGTCTGCCTTGCTATTAGCCGACGCATATGAAGTTTTTGCTTGAATTGTTTATAGCGTTGAGCCCAGCTCTTTGAGCGCTACAGGATGACACTAACTTCTATCAAAAACTACATTCTGTGTAGCCTCGATTTTAGGCGTTCTCCCAATTTGGGAAGCTGTTTTATCCTAATCTGAAAGTGTGGGTTGAAGTTGGTGAACAATTCGGGAACACATTCTCTATGCTTTGGGCGCTCTGCGTGATTGCACGGTCCTCAATATCAGTACGTAATATAATAACCTAACACCCTGGTTTGGTTTTTTGACATTTTATTGACTTACCAAACCAGATTTTGAGATTGAATGTGATCTACTCCATTCCCTAGAAAAGATGCTATGAAGCAGTTCCTTTATGGAGAGGACCACAAGTCAAAATGGTCCGTTCGAAATAGAATTTAAACGTATATCCAGGGTCTGGTCTAAATGTGCATTTTAAAGTTGCCGAACGATTCTCTGAAAAAATTATGTAGGCGGTTAAGGTGTGTGCTTGACGTAAACAAATGCAAAAGGCATATGTAGACGTGAGTGCACTCACAGAGATGGTCGAAGAGGGAAGATTTGGATTTCCAGTGAAACATCACGGCAATTGCCATGAGCAGTGTGAATTGTTGTACAAGATCTGCTACCATTCAAAGCAATGGCTTAAAGCAGTAGTTAGCGTGATGCTTTATGCCATGTATCGGATTTTGTTAAGAACGCGATCTTTGCACTTTGCTGGGCTTTCTCCTCAAAGACGTAAAAACTTTACATTTGATATTGTCACCTTTTGTGACTTTTTGTTGTCTAAGGGTAATGAGGTTCCCAGCTAAACCATGCAGCATCGCTACGATCCCACACATGACACTTTCACAGTAAGATTTTGGAAGGAATTGCTAAAATGGTCGTGCGGTCATTCTCTGTTACCACTCACCCTTGCACATTTGTGCCTTGTCTTTTCGCCGATGGTCACACAGATCAAAAATACACTGGTGTGCAAAACTTAAGGACGAACACAACTTTTGATTACTGTATCGCTGGCAGATAGCAGAGCTCGATGAAAATTATACCATACCAAGACAGGACAATACGGTATTACCCAAAGAACAGTTGACAGAAAATCGATATAAGACAAACAGATAAGACATTTTTATTTAAAGGTATCGATTACACATAAGTCTTCACAATTTGACCTCATACCGCAAAAAGCAGCGCAGCTGTCAACAGGGTGTGTGATCATCGCGAGCTGCAATACATTTTCTGCACCGCGATTCTATACTTTCCACGAAGTTGGTAACGAGTTATTGTAGTAGGGCATTCCTTTCCTCTATCACCGCAATTCACAATTGCTGGATGATCACTGGTGCATTTATATGTGCTGCAATGCGTCTACCCTGTGAATCCTACACGTTCTAGATGGGATCCAGATCGGGGAAACGGGCAGGCCACTCCATTCGCCTGGATATCTTCTTGTGCTAAGAGTTCCTCCACTGTGCTTCTCGATGCGGTCGCGCATTGTCATCCATAAAAATGAATTCAGGGTTAACTGCAGACAGGAGAAGACGCACATCAGGAAGTACCTTGCCACAGTAACGTCGACTGGTGAGGGTTCCATGCTCAAAAATCTGGAGGTCAGTGTGGCTATGCAGCATGATACTTCCCCATACCATAACACCTCGACCACCAGAACGATCACGTTCGACAATGTTTCTGGAAGAGTTGCGTGTTCCCACATCTCGCCATATGAAGGTGCGTCCACAATCACTGCTCAGATTAAATCTGCCCTCTGACTCTGAAAGAAGCATACGGCTCCATCCTTTATCGGTCCTTCCGCTATGCTCCTGGCACCACCCTGAATGGTCTCGCCGATGCGCGAGGGTCAATGGAACACAACGTAGCAGTTGTCGAGCAGAGAGATGGCTATCGTGCAATTATCGTGCCACTGTAGTTCGCGAGATGTCTTGCCTTGGATTCCTGTCAAATGTCTTTGCAAACACAGAAGCTGATTGGATCTCTCCTTCTCTGCTGCACAATGTAGCGGACATTCCTTGGTGTAGTTAATCTTGCTTGACCACCTCCTCTCCTTCGGGCAGCAGTACCAGTGGTTAGGAATGCTCTCGACGCACGTGAAACAATGCTGTGAGCGACATCGAGCTCTAAGCTACATTCGTCATGGCATCAAGTTTCCTGATGATCCCCCTTGTGTGAAATCACCCAAATGATGTCCGCGGGACATGATGCATAAAAGGATACCACCACAGTACTTTGTAGCTGCTCAATGACTGACCAAAAATTTTTTTCGCACCTATCAACCGCCTCGACTTACGCCATACTTCTTATTTAGCGCCTTATTTGAACTATCTCGCCACGAAGGGAGGTCCAGCTTCCTGTGCATAATCGTCATAGCTCTGGCAATATACTCCCACGCTTTCACTTATTTCCACCCACTCCTTAATGTTTTATGTCAAATTATCCATCTCGCCCCTAAGTTCCGCAACCACTGTAGTAGGTGATGATTGTTTTTGAACCTGAACCGAGACAGGAACTCATAGGCGAGATTATGGTAGAGTTTGTTTTCTTGCGTGGAGTTCCGAAGCCAGGGCGAGTAAACGCGTACGATGAGCGAGTTGATGTTAGCGTAGGTGCGATTGAGCGTATAGCTACGTGACATCATGCACCACAAGACTGATGCGTTCCTCAATTCCATTTCTTCTTGCCGTTTGAAGATATAACGTGTTTGAACGTATCTACAGATACACAGTAGCTCATTATCTCAACCTCTGCCTATACACTCACTACTCAATTCTTCACTGACTATCGTTTGGCCTTTTTTACTTTTGCACCTCTATAAGAAAATTTCTCCCTCGCTAGAATGGTGTTGGCGCATCTATGTGATTCAGACACAGCTCTGTTTTCCATCCAGACATAAGGATTGAGCTGACTGCATGTGGTGGAATTTCTTATTCGTTGTTCCCAACGTGATAAAGTTCTTTGTTTCACATCATTCATAAAAGACTGTTACATCTACACATTAAATGATGAAACTTATCCTTCTTTCAATGTAAAGTGTATGAAAAGAACAAAAAAGTTGTGGTCATATCGTATGCTCTGGATAGTAATCGAATCGCCTCAAACACCAAAAACGTCGTAGAAGGCGGTATCACCTGTATCACTTGTCCTTTCGTCGATCAATGATGCCTCTTAGTGTCTCTATTCTTCCCTGTTGCGAGCACGGCTTGAGGAACAAGAAGCAAAACATCTCTCTCGTTCAGAGCTTTTGCGAAAAAGTCTATCCTTCACACTAGCGACCGACCTGGTGTTCGTTTGACGTCCCGAGTGATCCGGTCAGTAACCGCCTTGGTCCAACGGTCAACACGATATCGCATGATGTACTCACCAGTTCATCGATTTCTTGGCGTAATCAGCGCCACCTCTGATCTTCGTTCGTTGGCGATGCTCGGAACTCTGGGTTCCCTTCTGCACTTGCGTGTATGGAAAAATTCCGAGCATCGTTTTCCACAGCACCTTGAAAAACGCTGACAGCACGTTCATCCTGCTTCCGTAGAGTCCAAGTCTCTTAGCCGTATGTCAAAGCAGGAAGGGAGCGGAGCCGGACGTTCTTCGTTTTCTTCACTACTCCCTAGATGTTCTTAAAGGCACAGTTCAAGATAATTTTGGGGCATCCGGTTTTTGACGTGAAATGATAGGTACGGCCTACATTAGTTCAATGGATAAACAGAAATCGCGAAAAACGACGAATAAAAGAAATACGAAGGGTCCAAGAAGAAGTCAAAAGGGGGGTTGGACGAGTTACACAGCCGAAGACTGCGGTTAAGGAGGTGCTCGAGCGAGTCAGACGAACGCGACGCAGTGTCTGCAGTTGCACACAACACACGCAGACAGCTGATTTTGCAACAAAATCTACATGCCCGTCCGTGGCAATCTGCCAATCAGCTTACCGATTGTTCACTAATGTTGCTCCAATGCGAACGTGGTGACCGGCAATTAGATTTCGTAGTCAGCCTAGCGAGGGGCGGAGGCTTCTCGTCCCCCACTCTCAGAACCCTGATTGTGCCCTATCCAGAACGTTTTACAACCTCATTTTGGCACATATGGTATCAGAGGGGGCCCCGATTCATACCATGTGAAAATCTCCGAAACCATTTTTATCGTGAACTGTGCCTTTAAATGCTCTCCCCGCCGCGCGTTTCCGTCTGCACAGCTCCGGAGCTAAAAAGTTCATCATGTTGATTTCCCGACCTAAATACACATAGTTGGAGCATTCAGAAATATTCCTTCCGTTCAGCGTAGAAGGAGCATCAGGTACCAATCCGTTTCACATGAACATTAGGTTAAGTCGTAATCCGATCTTTCCACAAGCGTTATAGAATTCGGCCAGCATTTGCTCCGCCTGCTCGATGATGGGTGTTATAAGCAAGATATCATCTGCAATGCGGAGATGATGCAAGTAGAGGCCGTAGGCCTTCATTCCCATTCTTTTCCATTCCATATGATGAACGACGTTCTCGGCAGCGACACTGAAAAGTTTGGCGCGATGGTATCGCCCTGCCGGACACCTCTCTCCACGATGATGATGGCCTCTTTATAGAATGGCGAGATCCTGGTCGTGAAATTGTTAAACAGTTCACGATTCATCCTCACATATTGAGTAGGAACACGCTGGTTGCTCAGGGCTTC